GGCTAGGTGATTATCTAGCCTCCTTTTGAAGACCCCCAGGGTAGGAGTGAGCACCACCTCCCTTGGAAGTTGATTCCAGATCCTAGCTGCCCTGACTGTGAAGTAGTGCTTCCTGATGTCTAGCCTGAACCTACTCTCTTTCCACTTGTGGCCATTATTCCTAGTTACTCCTGGTAGTGCTCGGAGGAACAGGGACTCTCCCATTCCCCACAGGTCCCCCCTGGTAAGTTTATAGACGGCCACCAGGTCCCCTCTTAGCCTTCTCTTGTGGAGGCTGAACAGGTTCAGGTCCCGTAGCCTCTCTTCGTAGGGCCTGCCCTACTGCCCCCTGACCATGCAAGTGGCCCTCCTCTGGACCCTCTCAATGCTGTCCACATCCCTCCTGAAGTGCGGCACCCAGAACTGGATGCAGTACTTCAACTGCTGCCTGACCAGTGTCGCATAGAGGGGAAGGATCACCTCCTTGGACCTGCTCGTGATGCATCTGTGGATGCATGACAAGGTGCGGGTTAGCCTTACTGACCGTGTCCTCACATTGGCGGCTCATGTTCATCTTGGAATCAATAATGACTCCAAGATCCCTTTCTGCCTCTGTGCTGACGAAAAGGGAGTTCCCCAGTCTGTAGGTATGCTGCTGGTTCTTCCTCCCCAGGTGCAGTACCCTGCACTTATCAGTATTGAATCCCATCCTATTCTCATCCGCCCACCCCTGTAACCTGTCCAGATGTAGTTGTAGCCCGTCCCTCCCTTCTATCGTGCCCACCTCTCCTCACATCTTAGTGTCATCTACAAATTTGAACAAGGTGCTTTTCACCCCCTCGTCCAAGTCGCTTCTAAAGATGTTGAACAGTACGGGCCTGAGGACTGAGCCCTGGAGGACTCCACTGCCCACATCCCTCCAGGTCGAAAATGACCCATCCATCACCACTCTCTGGGTGCAGCCCTCCAGCCAATTTGCAACCCATCTGACTGTGTAGGCGTTGACACCACAGATGCCTAATTTTTTAATGAGAATGGGGTGAGAGACAGTCGAAGGCCTTCCTAAAGTCCAGAAAAACTACATCCACTGCAACACCTGCGTCCAAGGATTTTGTGACCTGGTCATAAAAAGCAACCTGGTTGGTCTGACAGGACCTTCCCCTAATGAACCCATGTTGGTTGCCCCTAAGCATCATCTCCCCTGCTGGTCCCTCACATATGTGCTCCTGGATAATTTTCTCAAATAGCTTCCCCAGGACCGAGGTAAGACTAACGGGCCTATAGTTACCTGGGTCCTCCCTCCCCTTTTTGAAAATGGGGACCACATTGGCCCTTTTCCAGTCCTCTGGCACCTGGCCAGAGCACCATGAGCGCTCGTAAAGCCGTGCCAGGGGTCCTGCAATGACGCTGCCAATTCCCTCAGCACTTTGGAGTGGAGATCATCTGGACCTGCTGATTTGAACACGTCCAGCTATACCAGCAGTTCCCTAACTAGGTCCTCCTTAGGCCTGGCGGTGCCCCTCCTGAGTCCTTCCAGAATCCCAGTGGGGGAGATGTCCCAGTCCCTGCTCAGAAAAATGGAGGCAAAGAATTTGTTTAAAGAGGTCGGCTTTATCATCTGGTGCAACCACCAGGTTGCCAAGCGTGTCCTGCAGGGGCCCCACATTACCCAGTGCCTTCTTTTTTACTCCCTATGTATTTAAAAAAGGACTTTTTGTTATCTTTGATCCTGGTCGCTCGTCCTAGTTCTGTCTCTGTCTTAGCCTTCCTAACAGCCCCCCTACAGTCTTGAGCAATGGAGGTATAATCCTCCTTGGTGATAGCCCCTCCCTTCCACCGGGTGTACACCTCCTTTTTAGCTTTCAGACGTTCTTGAATGCCTTTGGTCAGCCATGGGGGCTTTTGAGCACTCTTGCCCCATTTGATTCACGTTGGCACTGTCACCCTTTGGGCTCGGAGGATCGTCTCCTTCAGGAACAGCTAACTCCCCTGCCCTCCGGGACCTCAGTGCCTCTTCGACTAATCTCCTTAAGTCATTGAAATCAGCCCTCCTGAAGTCAAGGGCTACTGCCTTGCTGCAGGCCTTTGACACCCTGCTCTGGGTAGTGAATTCCAGTAGGCGATGATTGCTGTCGCCCAGGTGGTTGAAAACCTGCAGTCCCTTCACCAGGTCATCGCCTGTGGCCAGGACCAGGTCCGTCCAGCAAGGCATTTTCCCTGGTGGGACTGTGCACCTCCTGCACAGTTAGGTGGAGGTCCTGTATCTCAGCTAGGAACCTACGTGAGCGATCAGACCTGGCTGACTGCTCCTCCCAGCAGATGTCCGGGTAGTTTAGGTCACCCATGATGACCACATCCCTTGACTTAACTGCCTCCATGAGCTGACCCGAGAATTCCCGGTCCAGCTCTTCTCCCTGGTTGGGTGGTCTGTAGTAGACCCCCACCATTAAGTCCCTTTCCCCGCGAGCCCCCTGTGTTCTTACCCAGAGCACTTTAGTTTGCCCCTCGTCTGACCCTGTCCTGTTAGTTGAGGATGTGTATTACTCTTTGATGTAGAGTGCCACGCCCCCACCTTTCCATCCCAGTTCTATCCTGCCTGTACAGTCTGTAGCCCTTAATGTTTACCACCCAGTCATGGGTCCCACCAGGTTTCAGTGAGCCCCACTATGTCTGCGTTTGTGTTAGCTAGCAGGAGGGCAAGTTCCTCCTGCTTGTTCGCCATACTATGAGCATTAGTTTAGAGGCAGTTAAGGCCTCCTGTGGGTGCATGCACTACCCCTCCCCCCCTTGATCCCAGGACTATCTGGACCTCTGTCACTTGCCTGGGTACTTCTTGTGCTCATCACCTGTCTTGGCTGGAAAGTGTCCTCATGTTCTCCTGTGGCCCTATCCCCTGGCAAAGCTAGTTTAAAGCACACCTTACAAGATCAGCCAACCTAGAAAAAATGGCACACTTGGCTTTAGGGGAGAAGTGAAGCCCATCCCACCCGAGCATGCCCCCTGCGTGAAAATGCAGGTCGTTGTCAAGGAACCAGAGGCCTGCCTGGTGGCACCAACTCCAAAGCTGCCAGTTGACCACTCCGATGCAGGCCTCATGGCACCGTCCACATCTACTTGCCGGGAGAATAGAGAAGAATACCACCTGCGCTCCCGTCTCCTTCAGCTTGGCCCTTAGGGCCTTGTAGTCCTTCATGATGCAGTCTGGCCTGCTCCCAGCTGCGTCATTCATTCCCACGTGGATTAGGACCATGGGGTACTGGTCCAAGGGTCGAATGAGGTCCGGGATCATCTCTGTAATATCCTGAATCCGAGCCCCAGGCAGGCAGCAGACCTCACATGCCATGGGGTCAGGTCGGCAGATGGGACCCTCCGTTCCCCTCAGGATGGAATCTCCGATGACAAGGACCCGACGTTTCTTCCTCATAGTGTTCCGTCCTTGCTCAGGCCGTGCTGTGCGTAGAGTGGCACTTTGCCCCCCAGAGGCATCCACTTCCACCTTCTCCTGTAAGGCTGCCAGGGCCTCGTATCTGTTCCCCAGTTGTACTTGGGAAGCTGCCACCACGCTAGCCCAAGAGCCTCTGGTTCTAGTGGGTACCTTCTGCCATTCCTCTGCTGTCTCTCTCTCCTGGGAGGTCTGTCCACTGGAAAACTGATCCTGCAGAGAATGGAAACACGTGTCAATTTTGTCCTCCGCAGGCCTGATCCCCCATAGCCTGCTCACCTCAGCCTGGAGTTCCCTCACCTGCTCCTCCAGGGCCCAAAGTCGGGCACAAGAGGGACAGGCAAGGGGGCCTCCAGACCCCTCTCCCACCCGCAGCCTCCGGGTCCCTGCCAAGCAGCCTCCACAGAATGGGGCAGGGGGCTGCCGACCTCACCAGGGGCTCTGTCTGGGTGGAGGCCTCAGTAGAGCCCAGGGTAGGTGGCACCACCGGGACGGGGTCCCTAGCAGCCGCTCCCCGTGTCCTTACCATGTCTGTGGAGCTTTGAGTCTTCCTCTCTCTCTTGCTGGAGACTCCGTCCTGGTTACTGCTGCATGTTCGCCTTACACAAACGCTTCAGGGCATGTCTGTTCGCGCATGCTGCCCACGCGTGGCTTGGGAGCGTGGCTCCTTGTCGGCTCACTTGAGAGATCCAGGGGACTCCCCTTCCAGATCCTCTGCAGCTGTGCCAGCTCCCTTCACCCTACTCACTTACCTGTGTGGGATCAGCTGCCAACTCTGCCGCCGCCGCTGCGTGTAGGTAGGGGGGTGCACATGTGCTGGATGCATGCGTGCACCCACTCTGCTCCCAAGCCCTGACTGCTAGGCGGTGCTGAGTCTGGGATCTTGGGGTGATGACAGCATGGGGCTTGGGCAGAGCCGTGATTCGCTCCCTGCAGGCCCCTGCCTGTGGAACCAACACCCATTGCAAGAACGTGGGCAGTGGATCATGGCTTTGCCCTGGGCCCTCATTGTCACTGCATTGTGATCCCAGCCCCACTTGCCCATCCCACTCCTGGATGCCTCTTCTTGTCCTCCTGCAGCCCCATCCTATGCTCCTGGCCACATGCCCTATGGGGTGGATGGGCCAGGGTGCCTGGAGTGCGGGGCCAGGGCTGGGGCCAGTGGTGGGGAGCCAAGTCCAGCACCCCATTGCCCGAGCCCCAAACTCGCATCCAAACTGGAAAAGGTTTCCAACAGAACACTTGTGCCTACCCTGGGCATGGCCCTAGCTGAGCTGACCGTTGCAGGCCTTTTTCAGTGTCTCTGATTTGTTGTCGTGCCTGCTTCTTCTCTTGAGCTGTGGTAGTGCTACTGTTGGCCACATGGCAATGAACCCTCTGCTGTAGACAGAACTGGCTTCACAGAGAGACTGTTACCCCAAGATGAAGCCTCCTTCTCCCTCAGGCTTTAGTTCATTATTGAAGTGTTTGTGCACCTTCTGGAAACTGCTTGAAACGGGTAGAACCAGGGCAAGGCAGAGAACTTGGAAAGACCAAAGCCCTCAACTGCACCTGATCATCTAAGGCTCCTGTGGCTGGATGTCTGCTCTTCAGTGGGTTGCCAAGCCCAGGCACACAGGTGTTTCTGGGGGCCCACTTGGTGATTCCAGCTTTATTTCTGGAGCAGGTGGATGATCTTGACTTTCTCTTCCCAGGATCCTTCAAGGAGAGCTGAGGCGTTTGAAATGGCAGCACGAAGAAGCAGCAGAGTCTCCAACCCTGGCAGAGGGATCTCCTGAATCAGTCCAAGATCCACACAGTGACGAGCTCCTGGCTGAGGCAAGGATCCTTCGGCAGCACAAGAGCCGTTTGGAGACCAGAATGCAGATCCTGGAGGATCACAACAAGCAGCTGGAGTCCCAGCTGCACCGCCTGAGGGAGCTGCTACTGCAGGTACCTTCCTGGGGAGGATGCAGAGAAGGTCTCAGATCAGCATCTTTGGCATGATCAAGGGTTAGGAAAAGAAGTAGTTGTCTTCAGGAGTGAGGGGAGCCTGACATGAGGACAGGTGCTGCAAATGTAGGAACAAAAGGTTCCAGGGAAGAAGGAATGTGACCAGGAGGTGGTTTTTCTAAAGTTTCTTTTCTCTTTCCAGCCGCCAGCAGAGTCAGATGGCAATGGCTCTGCGGCCTCCTCTTTGGCTTCCTCTCCCCACCAGTCAGAGAGCAGTCAGCCCAAGGAGCACAACACCCCTGACACTGAGGCTGCAGGTGAGGGCCTGGAGCTGGGCTGAGCTCCTTTTGTGCCAAGTAACAGCCCCCAGCTATCTGTCTGGGCCTCCTCTTAGGTCAGTCTGATGGAACACATTGGTTGCTTGTCCATGGGACTGAGCTGTTTTGCTGGTGGAGAGGCCTGTGACTATTCTCTGTAATGAGGAGCTACAGTAGTCAGACCTATGCTACTCTGCTATCAGACAGAGAGCTGCACTTTCTAGGGCTCTACAACCAGTGGCTTTACAACTGACCCTGCACTGCCTAGTTCATCAAATGAATAGGGCATCAGTCTCTTGATTGCACTGTCATGCACTGTAGATGTGTCACCTTGGCTGGTGTCAGTATGGGTCGTGATCTCTGGACAGCACTGCTAACTACAGCTCTCCCTTCTCTCCCCTTCTCCCAGATGAGGTAGAGCCCAAGACACAGGATGTCAGTGTGTGTTTGGAGGACATCATGGAGAAACTAAGAAATGCTTTCCCCAATTCTCGAGGTAGTCGACTGAAATCCCCTTCGCTGGCTTCATATTCCTCGCTAAGATGAGTGTCATCATTCAGTATCTTGCTTGGCTTATGTGAAGCCCTAACCCTAATCCAGCCAATCCTGCAGCCATACACTGCTGCCAGACTGCCAAAGTGCTGCTTAGACTCCTTGCTGTGCCATAGATCTCAGGGGGGGAATCCTCCCTGATTGTGGAAGAGATCCACAACTGCTGAGAACTGCAGCTGGTTCAGATCTCTCCTAGGTGAATCCAGCCAGACAAGGGAGCCTTCTATGCTAAACAGACTGGTGCTCTGCTGGGTTTACATGTCTCTTGAAGATGAACATGCATGACCCCATCAGGTTCCCAGTGTCTTAGTCTCCCTTATCAGCTCCTTTATCCATCCCAGCCTAGAGCACAGTGCTTCTGCTTCCTGAGTGGGCTTAGGTCAGATGGTTCGGCCTAGCTGACAAAATTCCTCTAGGTCTCCTAGAGCAGAGGTTCCCAAACTTTTTTTTCTTTTTGCATAGCCTTTTCCAGATTTACTAGCTGCCCGCATACCCCTACCAGGATACATTTTATGTTTTAACCCCTTAAATGCCAATTATAATGAAAATTAAATCCATCATTATACAGTTTCTCTCGTGTACCCCCAGGGATGTCTTGCATACCCCCAGGGGTATGCATACCACAGTTTGGGAACCCCTGTCTTAGAGGCTCTCACAGCCTGTGCTCCACTGAGAATATTTGATAGCTAGTGCTAATCTGAATGGCCTACACTCTTCTCACAGTGCCTGCTTTGCCCTCTGCTAGGGGTTGGCACTTAACACATCTAATCCTAGGCTGCTGCTGCAGCAATGTATCGGGTAATCCTTTGAGTACACATGGCTCTTCCTCTTATATATGTGCTTGTTCGGGGTCTGCATTTCCTCAGGTGAGCCTCCTTCCGTGTCCCACCACAAAAGACATTGTGCTGAGGGTGGAGCAGGGAACTCATTCAGGTTAAGAACACTACACTGTGGTAATGAGAAATGCTTCCTTCAAGGCTCTCCTGACCCTGACCTGTACCTTCTGCATAGGTCATTAGCATTCTAGCACTAACCAGGTCGCTCCCCAGTTTCATCTTACATGACCTGTTGGTTTTTCTTTCAGATATGACCTCCCTTATCTAACATCTCCCACGAGTAAGAGGCTTTGTCTAACCAGCTGCTTGGCTGCTCTCCTCTCCCTACTCATGCCATTGTGCTCCCCTGTGGCAGGCTTCACTTGGACCCTCCTTAGGGCACCCCATTGGAAGGTCATCCATGATGCTCACCAACTTCAGAAGATCTCAGGGGAATACTCATTGACCACATGGGAATGTGACTGCAGGCTCTTTGGAGCTGTCCTGAGGGTCAGCCAGCCCTGACCTAATGCTCTGGGGGCTGGATTTAAGGAACTCTCTAAAGGAGGCAGAGAAAAGCAGGGACTGAATGCAACACTAAGATGGTGCTGAGCATGATGTATAGGCTCCTTCTGTTTATTGGTCACAAACTCTCACCCTGCTTGTGAGTCAGGAAAGGATGATGCCTGTAGCAGATGACAAAGCCCAGCCCTGCCTCACCTTCTTCAGCTAAGTGGGTCTGCTTCCAGTTCCAGTGGGGTACCAGTCTCCAGACACTCCCACAGCCACTGAACACTCATTGACCACAAAGGATCTTTTTTTAAAACTTAGTTTTTAACCGTGCAAGGCTGCCAGTCTCAGGAACTGAGCTCTCTCCAATGGCCTGGTACCCCAGTGTCTCCCACTACTTTCAGAGGTACCACCCCAATAGGAACAGCACTGGGGAGAACAGGGGGGTGGGTGGGAGGAGTCAATATTACAGCTTCAGCCCAGCTAAGTAGCCTTATCTCAAGAGAAGCTTTATAACAGAGCACCTTATCATTTAATTTGCATATATATATATATATATATATATATATTTATATTCTGTACTCAAATACTATCGTGGACTCACTCGCACATTAAATTCTAATACCTTGTGAAGTGTTAATTTGCGCCTTGCTGTTTTGGTCTGGACCAACATTTGCTTCTGTGGGGACAGGCACCTTGTGCGCTATCTCATACTCTCCCAGCTCCCTGTCAAGATGCCCAGGTTGTGCTGCCTCTGGAGCAGAAACTCTTGTGGCACCAGACTAGTGGCACTGGTCTGTTGATCCAGGACTTGCTTCTGTGAGCTGTGTTTGCTTATTGTAACACGCAGGCCTATTCTACAACTTCCCCCTTATAGTTTAGCAAGGGGCCCCTATCCCTTCCATGAGGGAGATTAGGCTAAGTGGAACAGGCAGCCCTGCTTCCATCAGAGGACTTCCAGCAGGCTGAGGGATGTGACAGCAGGTTCCTTGTGTTTATCTCCCTGTTGGCATTTGAAATTTCTGGCCCTCTAGTATTGTTGTGGCTGTTAGCAGTTCCACATCCACTGTACCTAGCAAGGACTCCTCTGCTTCTCTGGCTGATAGGTAAGAGTCTACAACTGACAGCTCCTTTTCCGCCAGGGGTTAAAAGAGAGATGGGAGGACTATAAGTGCCATTGAACCCTTGTGGTCATCATGGCATTGGGTCATCCATTATATAGTGAGGTGTATTTTGATGTTATCTTAGAGAACGGAGATGGAACTGAACTCTGATGACCTCCACTGTACTTCTAAAATCTTGCCTCCTGTCACTGGACTTTGGAACCATAGATCATTTGCTATAATCTAGGGATCTCTTTCTTAAATGAGGGAAGTATTTGGTACCAGGGTGGAGTGCAAAAGTTTTGCAAGCATGCAAGATTCCCTGGTGTCTTGTAGTGTAGCAGCACGTTATCCAAGAAGGATACCTTGGAAGCTCTTGGATCTAGAAGGTTCTGCAAGCTGTTG